TTTCTAGCGTTGTAAGTCCGCAGACACACCGCTATGCCACTGTGGGGCTAGGATCTGGAGCGGTTGTGCTTGTGGCAATAAATTCCTTATAACAATAGTTGCTCATTAGTTCCTATTCTTTTTTTTTTTGTATGGGGGAGGGACAGAGGAGGAGGGATGGGTAAACTCACAAAACTGTATCTTGAGGCATGTGGATTTTCCCTGTATTCAAGGGATTACTGCAAATTAAAGTTTAGCATATCTAAGGGCACGTGTTTATACTAAAGTAAGCCTATAGTTTTTTTGGCTCAGTAGAGTTATGAAGGTATTACTCATTCACGTGTTAATATTTGTTTGTATGCTGGACCATGCTTGTAAAAATATTTTTTGGTGCATACCGTTTTCTCTCTCTCTCTTTTTTTTTTTTTGTTACGGAACGCGGAAGTGTTACAGGTGTAGAGAGGTTGTTGCTTATCAATTACTTTTTACCCGACTGATTAGCAGAACATATTTTTTTCTGGAAACTTAAGGACATAGGCGTAATATAAACATTTCTAATTTGACGTAAACTACCAAGAACAGATATTTTTTCAATAATTCAAGTTTTAAGCAAAACAACAACATGTTATTACGCATTTTTTTCAGTAACTTTGTGTTAAGTGTTCAGTTATTGTCATTATAATAACAATCATAATTGAACGTTTTACAAATTCCGTCTGAAGATATCGTTGTAAGATTATCTAATTTTTAACTTGCATATGAACGATTATCCAAGATACAAAATGCGCTTTTTAGCGCAGAGCTCACACTATCTACGGTGTTTTTGTCGCAGGGATCGAATCCCGAATTTAAACATTATAACTTGCATGCCCATAAGTTTATTGCTGAGCTACTAAGGAACTCAATATAAGGAAAGTAAAAAAAAGTAACTTGATGAATGGTTTATCTGTTCCATAAATGTAAGTACAGTGAAAAGGAGAAAATGATTTTTTTCATATATAAACCAACGTTTTTCTTTACTTTTTTTTTAGATAAGGTATTTTATTTCTATTTAATCAAGCTAACACGATCTTTCTGATTGTTAACAACAAATATAAAGGATTGCAAAGGCATTTATAATTTTAGAAGTATGATTAACACCATTGCACATTTCTTGTATTTCTTATAATTATGTATATTATGTTAATGCTTTGGCAAATATCTATAACGTCCTTGTATACTAACTGGATAGCATGAGATAAGTGGAAGCGCAGATAAAACAAACAGATAAAAAGGAATCGAAGTAATCATTGTGTGTGAATGGAAACGTTTTTATTTTAAAGTATCCTAAAGTATCGTAACGCGAACACTGACTTTTCCAACAATGTTTAATCTTTGTAGAAATGGTTAGTGTGCGCAATTAGGCTTCAGTGTTTTATTTGTTTACTATTAAACTATGCTGTTTATGCAACAGTAAAAAAAAAACCACATGAACATATATGTAGAAAATAGATACACACTAGAATAATTGGTGATGTGGAACATTTCCTAATTAAATCAAGAAACAATGTATTTTTGGCAATCTAAAATAAGCTGTTCTATCTTCAGAAGTAATGGCTGGATTGTTACAGGAATTAAACTTAAGTAATTGGTGAAAGACATATTTCTTCTATAGATTCAAATTGGAATCAGAGCATAACAGAGTGATAAGTAGAATTGGGCATATTACTCACATTCATATGTTTGTTTTTAATTATGCACAAAGCTACACAAGGGGTATCTGTGCTCTGCCCACCACGGGTATCGAAACCCGATTTCTAGCGTTGTAAGTCTGCAGACATACCGCTATACCACTGAGGGGGGGGGGGCATTCATATGTAATCGTAAGTAAATTATGGCTATTGATGTGCAACATTAACTTACAACGGGTAGATCACTCACTTTGAACCCACAATTGACCACAGATGTACAGTTGTCCATCTAGAAGAAACCAGTTATTAAAAACTTGCGACATATACAAGAAATACTGAATGCTGACTATGCACGCTAAATGCTGTTATAAGGAATATTTCCGATATTTGGAATCGTAGATGGTAAATGGCGACAGTTTTTATGTTTCGATGTCATTTTATACAATAAGTAAGGTTTTTGCATCTAATATTCTAAATATTTATGAGTGAGAACGTGCGCTTGCCTTGTTTCGTGTTATACCTCCAGATATGAACTCATTATTGGTACCGAGTTGATGTGATTCGTACCAAGCGTAGAATGCTTTGCTTATTTATATATTGCTATACTTACAGGTAATTGTACTGAAAATAAGACTTGGTGGAGAAATTATATATCATGGTTTCAAAAACACTAGTTTTTTATGACATGTTTATTGTCTTTTTTTTATCACTGACTGAAGATTTAGCTCAGACAGATTCGAAATTAACCCAGTTTGGTTTTCTTATTTTTGTTTCTTACATAGGAAATTTGTACCGATCCTATTTTTGTTCTCGATGGTCCCAATCAACACGACATCACTCCTGGAAGGCTTGGTAAGTCACTGGAAAGAGAAGAAAGAAAGTTTCGTTTTTGATTGCTAATTTAATTTGTAGCCGCAGGCGTAATGGTTGGAAATAGATAATTTCTAAGATGTTAATTCTGCAATGGAGCAGTTTCTTATGATACTTATATAACTTCATGAAAATAACACTTAAGTACTTATACAACCTTATGAGCATAACACTTAACTGCTTATATAACCTCATGAATATAACAAGGACTTATATAAAGCCCCCAGTGGCACAGCGGTATGTCTGCGGACTTACAACGCTAGAAACCGGGTTTCGATACCCGTGGTGGGGCACAGCACAGATAGCTCATTGTGTAGCTTTGTGCTTAACTTCAAACAAATAAACTTATATAACTTCATGAACATGCCTTTATTTTGCTTTAAACCTGTACAATTTAATCAATATATGTGTTGGAATTTGTGATCTAAAATGTTCTGAATCGCGTTTAACATACTTAAAACATGTAAAAACCAGTTGTAAAATAGACCACATATCAGTTGCATTCCTCCAAAAAGTAATCGCTACATCTGTTATACATTTTGTACAATATATTCTTCAGAGTTCACTCCAAATTAACCTGGTCTTGTGGTTAAGGCGCTTGACTCGCAATCTGAGGGTTGCGGGTTCGAATCCCCCTCGCCCAACGTTCTCGCTCTTTCAGCCGTGGGAGCGTTATAAGGTGACGGTCAATTCCATTATTCGTTGGTAAAAGAGTAGCCCAAGAGTTGGCGGTGGGTGATATTGACGAGCTGCCTACCCTCTAGCGGCCTAGCCTATCACTGCTAAATTTTGGACGGTTAGCGCAGATATTCCTCGCGTAGATTTGTGCGAAATTCAATACAAACCAAATGTACCTTATAATTGTACTTACGAGTCTTGAGAAAAAATACGGTTTAATTGCCAGGTGATTTAACTTGTACACAGAATCACAAATAAGGGGTTGGGTGGAATTAGCCTCCTACCTATGAGATGAGATAACTTGTACACAGAATCACAAATAAGGGGTGGGGTGGAATTAGCCTCCTATCTATGAGATGAGATAACTTGTACACAGAATCACAAATAAGGGGTGGGGTGAAATTAGCCTCCTACTCTATGAGATGAGAATATTTGAATTTCTTAATTCACTTAATTATTAATTATCACGGTTTCAGCAACACGTAATATTTATCTATTTCCGGTCGTGCGAATGTTGGAGCAGAAAACGCATTCTTCATATCATAGAACATACCTAGAGAATATACAGTAATCAACCTGCGTATCAAGTTGTGAGTGGAAATTCATTTTGAAATTTAAGTTACGTTCACAAAATACACGTTTTAAATACACAGCTAGCGTATTCTTCATCACTATGGTTACATGTTTCATCATTATATCATACAAATACCAATACTGAATGTTTTTCTAGTTGAATTGTTAGTGATTGTTTTAGAAAAACGCCAGCTACTACATATATTTGCTTATTGTTTCACAACGAACGAATTCTTACTAGCTATATATTTTTCACTTGAAAACATATTTGTACAACACGGCTAACATGTCTTTTAGTAAATACAGGGAGTATCTGTGGGTGGTAACTTGCAGACTGATATGCATTCGAACTGGAATTTTCATTCATGACAAATTTGAGTGAGAAAACCTACTTGTTCTATTTTTTAGAGAAAAGCCACATTGGGCTACCTGCTGTGTCCACCGCGGGAAATCGAACCCCGGATTTTAGCGTTGTAAGCCTTTAAACTTACCGGTGTCTCAACGGGACACAAGAATTTTTTTTAGAACAAAAGCACATTGGGCTTTCTGATGTGTCCACCACGGGAAATCGAACCCTGGATTTTAGCGTTGTAAGCCCGTAAACTTACCGGTGTCTCAACGGGACACAAGAAATTTTTTAGAACAAAAGCACATTGGGATATCTGATGTGTCCACCGCAGGAAATCCAACCCCGGATTTTAGTGTTTTAAGTCCGTAAACTTACTGCTGTCTCAACAGTGGACTTTTATTTTTTCTTTAACGTTATCATGTAAATTGTTTATTATATATATAATATATTTTTCGTTGTTTTAATTTTTACTATGAGGATTATTTTGCATTGTTAGCTTAGTATAAGGTTTCTGTTTTGTCTTTAGTGTTAGTTTATCAACATTATCGTCTGAATTGTTTAGTCCATAATATATTTGTTTTATTGTTTTAATTTTTCTACGAAGATCATTTCGCGTTGTTAATTTAGTATATGTATTTAGGACTAACCTAATAGGGCAGTTGTTCACGACCCGTTATAATCCCCTCCCCTAAAAAAAATAGAGCTCCTCACTTTAGGGCCGTGGGTGAGTTATAAGAGTGACGCTGAAATCCTACTACAGCTGTATTCAATCAGACAGCGATAAGTCCGAGGGCTTATAACGCTAAAAATCGGGTTTCGATACCTGCGATGGGCACAGCATAGGTAGTTCATAGAGTAGCTTTACGCTTAGCAACAAACAAATAATCAATCAGACTAGCCCAAGATTTCCCGATAATTGCTATTGACTAGCTGCTTTCCCTCTGGTCCATCAATCGAAAATTAGGAATCGGCTAGCGTAGATAGCTCTCGTGTAGCTTTGCGTGAAATTCAACGAGCACACACTCACAAGACAGACTAAACCTATATTCACTAAGCCTGCTTATCCTCGTGATCATGGTTACTGCTAAAAATATCACTATGTTACCTACATTCATTGTCGGGTTTTTGATTCTGATCTATTGATCTATGTGTTTTCTTCTAGCAAAGCCGCGTCGGGCTATTTGCTGTGTCCACCGAGTGTATCGAACCCTTGATTTTAGCATTGTAAATACGAAGTCGTACCACTCTCTCACCTATTGATGTATCTAGTTAATTTGCTTTGAACAGAAATGGATGTTAACAAACGGCAAATGTAGTAAAGTGAAAGAAAAAATCGTCTCTACACAACAATTACCACTTTAAAATGACTATACATTTATTAATCTATTAATGGTGATTATCTGATAAGTTTGTAGAAGAATACTGGGATTACCAATTTTACAATAATTAATTTGCACTGTTTGTCTTTTGACGCTGTCATACTTAGTTTGAGCGATCAGACATCTATTTTCGAAATTAATTCATCGAGATTGAATAATCACAGATCTTTTCTGAAGCTATCATTGTCAATCTTCTAACATGTTTGAGTGTATCATATTTTGTTAAGTTATTTAAATCTGCATGGCTAGTTACTATTACACTTATTTTAAATTTTCAGATAACAAGTATGACTTTTACTGATACTCCATGGGTCTTTTTATATACTGAATAAACAGAAACCTCGGGTGTATCATGGATGTTCTGAATTGCTGGGTGATGAGCCGTACATTTTAATATAAAGCATACCTTCCATTTATTAAGCATTGCTGTAGTTTTTAGTTTAGTGGAGAGATGGCGCTAGTTATGCATCCTATTTGAAAATGCGGTGTTATGAGTAGAGCCGAATAAGTTGCGCTGTTAGACGCGAAGTTTGAGTCAGTATATAACATTAATACAGAAGTATTTACAATGGAGAGACATCTACATCCAATTCACAGTACTATGGTGAAAGTCATGGCTGTTGCAGCTGCTGGATTTCTTTAAATATATTATATGATAAAGTTTTCTATTCACTTAACAGTCTATTGGCCAGTATTCAGTTCCATCCACGAAGAAGTGAATGTGAAAGCCATATTTCTTCATTCATATAAACCAAACATCACAATATGGATTCAGCGGAACATGTAGAGAGGGTACTCGAAGCAATATGTACAGTTAACAATAATTACTGACTATCAAAGGACAGAGAGGTTATCAACCTTAATCGGCATTTAATAACAACCATAATAACGTTTCGTTTAACTCAACCTATATTTGTAAAGAATCTTATGTACAAGGAGTCCGTAAAAAAAAGTATCTTACGCATTACAAACGTCTATACTTTGAATGAACAAAGTTGGAGCTATGCATAACGATGTGTACACACTCACTTTATTATAAAGATGTCTTACACGTTACACATGCACAATATTTCACGAGTCATAAGCGACTCAGCGATTTACCGTTTGAAGTACATCCAGTCGATGCCATTAGAGTTAAAAATGTGAATTTCATTCTGTTCTGGTCTGCTTTGCTCCTCTAATTATAGATTCTATGGTATGTTATTTATTATAACTTACATTTTTAATCAGCCATAAGTATTTTTTGTCTGTGCTACCAGACTCCATAGTTAAACATTATCGTTATAGTTAAACTTATATACTTAAAAGTATATTTATCAACTTTTAAAGTGGTAATATTACTATATAATGTATTCTCAAATATAACAATTTATAATCATATATTATCGTTATATTTATGTATTTATTTTTTCGCACTTGAGTACATTATTTACCATATATATATATATTCTGGAAAAACAAAACCTATATCCTGAAAAAGTGTTTTTTGTAATAAAAGATGCTTGTTTGTTTTGAATTTCGCGCAAAGCTACACGAGGACTATCTGCGCTAACCGTCCCAAATTTAGCAGTGATAGGCTAGGCCGCTAGAGGGTAGGCAGCTCGTCAATATCACCCACCGCCAACTCTTGTGCTACTCTTTTACCAACGAATAGTGGGATTGACCGTCACATTATAATGTCCCCACGCCTGAAGAGCGAGCATGGGACGGGGTTTCGAACCCGCGACCAGTAGTTTGCGAGTCGAGTGCCCTAACCATCTGGCCATGCTGGGCAATAAAAGATACAAAGAAATAATTGAAGTAAATATTGAATTAATTATTGATGCTATTACATCTAAACGCGTTAGTTTTTTATTTTTTGCTCTATTTTATTGCCCTATTTATACATTGTATTAATTCAATTTATTCTTGCCTATTTTCCCAGGCGACAGGTGGTTTGTGGCCTGTATCGGATGTCTTTCCATAACCAAGGGCTTATTCTATCGTGTAGTACCAGCCGATCAGAATTTTCTTCCCAGTGATTACGCTGGCATATTTCGCTTCCGTTTCTGGTGGTCGGGAGAATGGAGAGAAGTGGTAATAGATGACCGACTTCCGACCGTCAACAACAAACTCGTGTTCGTTCACTCGCAGCATAGCAACCAGTTTTGGGCAGCTCTTTTGGAAAAAGCCTATGCTAAGTGAGACTTTTTTTTTATAGTGTAGGATGTTTTATAGATTACACGCTCATAAAAAAACTAATAATTTTTGGACTACTTTTTCCTATTTTACTTGGGTTATCTATAAACAATTAAGCTATAATATTCTTCTTTTTGTTTGTTTTGTTTATTTTTTTTTATTTTCGCGCAAAGCTACACGAGGGCTATTTGCGCTAGCCGTCCCTAATTTAGCAGTGTAAGACTAGAGGGAAGGCAGCTAGTCATTACCATCCACCGCCAACTCTTGGGCTACTCTTTTACCAACGAATAGTGGGACTGACCGTCACATTATAATGCCTCCACGGCTGAAAGGGCGAAAATGTTCGGTGGGACTGGGATTTGAACCCGCAGATTGCGAGTCGAGCGTCCTAACCACCTGGCCCTTCTTCTTTTTATCCCAGTTTACATTTATAATAACAAGAGCACTACACGTTAATGTCATTTACTGTAAAGTATTTATTGAAACAATGTAATTTTTCAGAACAATTTAAAACAATATTTTATCATTATTCTTGGACGTGAATTGGCCCTGTGGTAGAGTTCTGGGTTCGTACCTGGTGAGCCAGGTTCAATTCTGTGCGATACTACAAGTGGCTGATAGTATGGTGCTGCTTACTGGCTACCTTCCATCTGGTCAGTAGTTCAAAATTAGGGACTGCGGCACATAACCTTGGTAGGCTTGCCATAAATAATGATTAATTATTTTTATGTAATTGTAGGTCTGCTTAAAAGTTTTTAATTGTGTAATATATATATAATGATATGTAACCATAACAATTTATACTTATATTTTATTATTGTTTTGAGATATCGAAAGGTATACTTAAAACTTTAAATTGTTCTAACTTATTTTGATATGTAACCAAAAAAAAAAAAATAATAATATGAAAAGATAAATGTATCATTTAGTTGGAACACATATAATTTCTTTCACTTGTATAATATTTATATGTTTAAAAACACGAAACAGGTTTCTTGTCTTGGGAAACCATAAATTAGAAAAATAAACACGCGATCATTGAAATTTTTGGACGTCTCTTATGAAGACAACTAGCTGTGTGAGTAGTAGTTGCTACTGGTTCACAATGTCTTATTGAACTTTGAGCTTTATAAACGTGAAAAGTGTGCAGTTTTTCGTAATTTGGCCATGTGATTTCAGCAGCTGGAATTTTGTGTAGGATGAAATACAACTTTAAATTATTAAATACAACAAAAAGTATATCGAAAACGTGAATAACTTTCATTAAATTCGACTTACTAATTAGGAGTGTATAAGCTTGCGTAGCAGCTAATAATGAAGCATGTCATGTGCTAGACAGACAGAGAGGAATTGTTTGTTTGAATTTCGCGCAAAGCAACAACCGTTCCTAATTTAACAGCGATAGACTAAAGACTTTTCGGTACTCTTTTACCAACGAATAATGGGATTGACTCTCCTATAATAACGTCCTCACGACTGAAATGATCAGCATATTCGGCAACAGTACATTCGAACCCGCTACCTGCAAACTGCGAGTCAAGCGCTCTAACCACCAGGCCCACCAGAAAGAAAACAAAAATTGCAGTAGTTATAAGCTCACAGATCTATTTGGCGGATGATTCAAGAAAGTACAGTGCAAACTATTTAATTCTAGGTTATTAATTATTACAAATGGAAAAAATAACAGGTAAACTGTGAAAAATATATTTATTTTACTGAAAGTATTTGCAGGCTATTGCAGTACACGAGGATTTATTTAACCATCATAACGCCATCTGCGATTGCATATTTACGGGGGAAGAGAGACAATAAAAAAGAGAATACATTTTCGCATCTTTTTCGCCTTTGCTTTTGGGAGTCATTTTGGCGCCTTAAACTTCGACAAAGTATACAAAATATTTATAAGGAGAAAGTATTTTCTTTTTTTAATTGTTCCAAATAGAAAGCTTGCTATTTGAATAGTTTTAAACGTTTTGTAAACATGGTTTAAATGTGTACATGTTCCATTGTCGTGTAAGAGTTAAATGAACAACTTCTCTCGATTAAGGAACGCGAAAGTGGAGTGAAACATTATTTAATTATCACGTTTTCTAGAAAAGTGTTTGCACAAATCGTTATGAAAAATTGATTTTCTCTTTCCGTATTTGTTTCTCAAACAATATTCAGAAGCCATTATGGTACCTATTCTAATTCATAAGCCTTCGTTTTCGGTTTCTAAAGTAAATGTGTGCGATACTGTTTTCATTATTTTTTTAGTGGCAACATCATGGAAACACAACATATTTAGGCACAGAATCTAAATTCGCAAGATTATGTATTTAAAAAATCACAGAAAAAGGTGATGTGGACTTCGATTACTAATCTTACATAAAAAATAATAATTGTGTTCTGTTTTTGTGAACAGACTGCATGGATCCTACGAAGCACTTAAGTATGGATGCTCTCTCGATGGAATGGTAGACTTGACTGGTGGAGTGACGGAAAGTATCAGCGTCCGCCATGATTCCACAGCTTGTGGAAGAATCCTCTCTAAGCTTCTCAGTATGACTGATATTGTGACAGCAGTAGTATACCAGCAGACGCAGGTTAAATGCTATAATTATATGATATTAAACACATGGAAAAATAATTTACTAAGCTATCAAACAGTGTATTATAGTCGACTAAATTAAAGCTTTATTTGGATTATTTAATGTGAGGAAACGTTCTTAATTTATTATGTTAACGTATACATTATATGAATAAACACACACATACACACAGGTAGATTTTTCGCAACTGAACACACACACACATATATATATATATATATATACTTATGCACAATGAAGCATGTATTGTATATGTATTTTTGCACTATTGGGACGGTATTGCGAATATACATATTTATACATTTGGACATGTATGTATTATATATAATTGCATTTGTGTGTGCAATATTTATATATATGTATTTTTGCACAATTGGGACTGTATTGTGAATATACATATTTGGACATGTATGTATTATATATATAATTGTACTTGTGTATGCAATATTTACATATATGTATTTTTGCACTATTGGGAATGTATTGGGAACACACATATTTGTACATGTATGTATTATATATAATTGCACTTGTGTATGTAATAATTACATATATGTATTTTTGCACAATTGGGAATGTATTGTGAATATATATATATATATATATTTGTACATTTGGACACGTATGTATTATATATAATTGCACTTGTGTATGCAATATTTACATATATGTATTTTTGCACTTGAGAATATATTATTTATAATACATCTGTCAGAGAATAACAAAAATATCCAGATATTTTGTTGTTGTCAAATCATATGTAGAGAAATAACCAAAATAAGTATGGCATAACTTGAAACAATTCATGTCTATTTTATTGTTTACGTGAACGTTTTACTACAAGTGACATTTTTGATTTGTTGCAGTGTTTTTCTGACTGCCATTGTGTGATGGTCAAACAAACATGGGAAACATCATAGTCATTTTGATCGAATAAACATTCACTACTACTTACAACCAACCTATGGCAAAAATTTTTCACTCTATAATGCAGCCAATGAATTTATATATGATAGCTTCAGTTACTTCAGTGCTTTAGAAACATGCTAGATGCTATGGTAACTGTTCAGCCCAGATTCTGCTCTTTAAAGATATAAGAAATGAGATTACCACAAGCATAATTGGTGCCCTGTGATGTGCAAGTGGTCATTCCATAGGGTGGAGCTTGGCCCAGTGGTTGGTGTTCTGGTCTACGGATCTGCATGTCCATTGCTTACATCTTGTTACTACCAAAAATAGTTAATGCTAGTTAAGTAAATTATTTAACCTATTCTGACTACCCAGCTATTACAATCTTCCTTTCTCTCGCTCTCTCTCACACACACAAAATCAAATTCATAAGAGGAGTGTGGTAACTAGATAGTTTGAGTTGTTTGAAAAGTATTCAAAATAGTGATTTATCGGTTAATCCTTAATCTTATTTGGTAAGAATACGTAGCTTTTGTCTCATTATTTTTTTAAAAGTAAACAATAGAATCCTAGTAGGTTCACATTTTGAGATACAAGTTACTTTACCTGTGTTAATATATATTATATTTGTAAAGGTTTGCTATTATAGAGTAATGCAACTATTCCATTTAAAATAGAAACAATCTGAGATTGTATCATTTAGTAATGTATTATAATTTATATAGTAGTTTTATAAAGTAGTTTATTCAGACTTCACATAAATTATCTTTATAATTTATGATATATTATATATATATCATAAATTATAAAGATCATTTATGTGAAGTCTGAATAAGCTACTTTTTAAAAAATAGACACACTGTTAGTTTTGAGCACACATAATATAATGTTTTTGGACAACATGGGACCTATTGGTCCATCTTGGCTTTCCACCCTCTAAACTAAATTAAAAAAATAGAAATATTAAAGCCAGCTCTTATCATTCATATACTTATCAAGCTTTTTCTTAAACTCACTTAAATTTACTGCCTCTACAAGATTCAAAGGCAACCCATTCCAAAGGCCAACCACCCTGTTAGACTCCTACCCTGCCAAAATTTATACTTGTGTCCCCAAGTTTTACTATTCTCACTGTTAAATATAAAAAAGATGATGCATCAACATTATCAATTCCATTTACAATCTTAAACACCTAAATCAGATCCCCCCATAACTCTTCTTTTATCAAGAGAAAACAATTTGAGAGATTTCAGTCTTTCCTTGTATGACAACCCCTTCATCCCAGGCACCATTCTAGTAATCCTTCTCTGAATCCTGTCCAACAATTAAATGTCCTTTCTAAGGTAAGGAGCCCAAGACTGAACACAATACTCCAAATATGGCCTAACCAGTGACCTATACAATGCA